TGGAGGAGGAGGAGGAGGAGGAGGAGGAGGAGGAAGAGGAGGAAGAGGAGGAGGAGGAGGAGGAGGACCACTCCCGCCGCCGTCGGGCCATGCCACGGGCTTACGCCTCGAAATGCACTGCAGTCCGGGGTGTGCATTGCACCTAAGGGCGTAGCCATGCGAAACCTCCGCAACGACGACAGTTTGTCCCTCGAATTTATGCAGACGGGCGTGCCGCGGCACGGTGCGACGCGACGCGGCGCCGCGGAACGGGATACTTTTGACCTCGGTTATATTCTACCTCGAACCATTCCACAGTCCCCGGCACCTTTGAAGTGTCGCGCGGTTTTCGGTGTAACCGCTCGCTTATGAAATATAACCACCGGCCCGCTCTTGGTTAACTCATTTATGCCGAGACTCCAACGTCGTTCGCGAAACCGGCCGCATTACGCTCCTGCCGCTGGTGCGCCAGCTGCGCGCTACTTTCCCTTTCTTTCCCGCGACAATGGCCCCCGCGATCTTTTGTATTTCGCGCACGTTCTAATTAGCCGCGTGCGTCCCAAGTAACACCGCGTCTGCCGCTAATGACACCTCGTCGAGAGCACCGATCACGTCCAGCGAAATATCGCGTTGACACACGCGGATCGGAATTCGATATTTGATGGTAACACAAGGATATCGTCTCGTGCACTCGCGTTTTGCCAGTAACTTGGACGCAGAGTGAGCATCCGCACGCTGTGAAGGGTGAATGTCGAATTTCGGGGTGAGAGAGAAAGAAAGAGGAAAAATCGCCGGGGGAATTATTCCTAGCCGCGGGAAACGACGAGAGTCGTTTCGGTCGTTACGGCCGTAGATGGACACCGGCGCGCAGCGCCCAGAATTCCGAAGGCGCGCTCCGATTTGCCCGCTATCTGGCAAATTTTCGTACCTCGACGCCGCTATCTCGTTCCTCTCGTAAGAGGCAGTAGATACCCCGATGGGCCGAGTTCCCTCGAAAGATCTTGACGCAGCATGCATGCAAATCCTGACCGCGATGGTGGCGCGGATAGCTCCGCTGCAGCGCTCGGCGTTGGCCGCCCGTGTACGTGCGCACGTGTGTGTACACGCGTTCGTGTAAGTGCTACGTAGCCATGGATACCGAGAGCAGTCCAATTTCACCCGGTTGGCCCCGACCGGTGTTTTCTTTAGCGATCGTACCTCACGCCGACCTCCACATTGCGCCGAGATTCGAACGGTATTTAAGCGCGTTTATCGCCGTCGAAGGAACTCGGCTTGCGGAGGCAATAGAATCGGGGGCGAGAGGGCGGTATCGAATGAACCAAACGACATCGAGCGAGACACAGACCGAACGCGAAAGGGAACGACACAGGTTCGGGGTCCGAGAGGGACGCTGCTCGTGCGGCGAATCGTGCGGCGGGAGAAAGAAGCCAACGCTCGAAAGCTGAATCGATCTTATAAGGGATTGCCGTGGTATCCCTTTACAAGCTTGCTTGTCTGCGGCGGAGTATCGGCAGACGTGTCTGGACTGTGGCCCGTTGGTAACGAGCGAGCGGTGCAACGTCGTTCGTTGTGTACGGCGAAGGGAAGCTTGCTTCTTCTCGGGCACGGATACACGATTGAATTAGATGTAGATATCGCGGTAACACACTGCGTACACACGTACTTACATGTACTTACGGTACATATATATGAGGATATGATAGTAGAGAGAACGGGGGACACAAAGGAACCGGGGAAAGAGATAGCGCTATCGCATGACTTGTGTCTCCTTCCGCCCTCGTTATTGCTATCGAATGCGATGCGAGCTTTTAAGGACGGTATCAAGGTGGAGGAAAGGAGCACCGTTCCTGCAAGCAACCGGCGGAACGGGAGGGGGATTAAAAAAGAGGAAGAGCAGAGAGAGAGAGAGAGAGAGAGAGAGAGAGAGAGAGAGAGAGAGAGAGAGAGAGA